ATCTTCAAATCCACTCTCCATTTGAACCAAATCCATCCAAAAAAAACTCAAAATTTTCATCTCTCCACTCCCCTCCAATTCTAGATCCTCCAAAAATTCACGGAACACCTCACCGCACCCCCCCAAAATCCAAAAAAAAAAACATCTAAGCAATGACGACAACGAGCACCAGGAACAGTGATCAGATTAGTAAGGGGGAAAAGACTTCTCATTGTACAAATGGTATTTTTTGTCTAGATAGTATTTATAAAAAAACAAAAATAAGAAATATCAGTTAGGTTGTAAACTCATACGAGCAACCTAAGCAATAATAGAAAAAATATGAGTGAGCCGGGGAGAAAAAGAAAAAAAAAAGACTTGGATGAAAACTTAAAAAGACTCGTTATTTTTGCATGAGTTCATTTTTACCACAACAAGCATTTCAAGGGAAAAGCAATAATTCAGATAAAAAATGAAGATCATGAAGAGTCACTTTGTGTAGTAAGGATAAGTTTGACTGTGAAGCATTTCTAGATTTTATTCGATAATTAAAAGCCTAAGTGTTGGGGATTTGATTGCATTGATTTTTGAGTGTTTAAGTTTTTTTTTATACTTTTAATTAGGTTTCATGGTGTGTGTTTTTTATTTTTTATTTTTACTTTTTTTTGTTTTTATTCTAGGGGGCGTCAGGGGGAGCGGGGCTGGGTGTAACACCCCCAAATTTCCCGCCCAAAAACATTGATATGATTGAAGTAAAACTTTCATTTATTGATAATAAAATTTAAAGAGTACAGCGGAAGTCTAAATAGGGAAATGGGTGTTACTGCCACATCCGGTCATCTCTCAACCGGATGCACAGGCAACTAAAACAAAACAATAAAACTAAATAAATAAATGTTTATTTCAAGACTAAATTTAACTAAGGCAACTTCTAACTCGCTCTCAGGCGCGTGCAATCAACAATCAACATAATCACCATCACCTGCAAAAATAAAGTGCAGAAACAAAACAAGGAAAGAAAACAAAAATTAGCTTTAGAGCTAAGTAAGTACTACCCAACCCCGTAAAATAATCAGGTTTGGCTAAAATAGATTTTTATATAATACTATATAAAAATAACACACTCCATAAAATTCTCTTCTTCTTTGATTATCTCAAAAATCACTTCTTCTCTAACTTCCTAGTAATTTAGAAGGGCGGTGCTCAACCTTTCGACTGAGCCCGGTGGACCGTGGTTACGGACGGCCACCCCGAACAAGTGCCGGTACCACAACTGCTCTTGTAGAAACGAAACGACTACCTTAAGTGTGCACACCCCCTAAAAGGGATTCCAAGCCCTCCGAGTAGTAAGTCATCTCGGGTAGTCGGGACTCAGTCTACCAAACACCCCACCTTTTAAAATTCTTGAATGATTAGGGACTACTACTATAACTCTACTTCTTAAAAGGGATCATCGATCCAATTATCACTGAAAACTTATTCTCACCCTTAGCAGTAGTAGCCCTTTTACGTCGGAACTACTACTACTACCACAACTCTCCTTCTTAAAAGGGATCATCGATCCGAAAGTTATTCAAAAATCTCTTCTTAGTAGTAGCCGCTCTAATCACCCTCCACATTTATCCGGATGTGAAAAGCCGACACCGCGGATTTCTCCCGCGGTGCTCACCTCTTATGAAAACGTAAATTTTATCTTGGCTTTAGATACACTTCTAAAAATATTTCTCGATCTCTCTAAATAATCTCAAAGGTATTTAAAAATATTTAATACCCCAAAAAGTACTCTTGATTTGTATTCATCAAAATCACATACACATAATTCAAAATTCACACTTAATCACATAATGCATAATAAGCATATAATACGAGGAAACAATTTTGGATCGGCAGAGAAACTTACCTTAATCTTGATGCTCCTAGTTCTCCTTCTCTATTCCGCTCTCTAAGTTATCACCTTTTTAATTAAGATGACAAAATTAGTCACTTATTCTATTCTTAATAATTTAACCGATCTCCCCTTATCCTATCATTCGAATTAATTATTAATTAACCACTTTCATGAATAACCTCTTTATTTTAGAAACCTCAAGTTAATGTAATAGTATTACTTAGTTCGGTCCAATGGTTAACTTGTAGTCCATCAATCAGTATTCTACTAGTATTACTTAACCCCTTTCAATTTAATTCCAATTAATGAAAATCGTCCATATTAATAATTTCCTGAACAATACATTTATCCTCTTTTTAATTCATTTTACAATATCCCAAAATATGACCATATCAATCAAATTCTCCGATTCCAATTACTCCGTATCATTTTTATACCTGAATAAACTTCCCCAATTATTACCATCATTTCCATATATTACCGATTTCATTGCTGTTATTTTACTTTTGCCATTTTTATTATCAATTTTTTCGGTTAGCCCAGACTAATATTAAAACAGTCCATCAGAAAGGAGAGACGAGCTAGTCATATTCCTCACGGAAAAGCTCAGACGCAGGTAACACGGAAAAACTTACCTCTTTAACAACCGGGAGTTTCAGAGAGATGGTGTGAAGAGTGAAGCGTGACGCGGAGGTGGAGTTAGCGGTCCCTTCCTCTGGCGGTTTCGTCTTGGACGTCGTGAAAGAGCAGATAAGAAACCAGTCCGGTGAACTCCGGCCAGTGATTTGTCCCTCTTCTGATGATCGTTTCCACTTCTGTTTCTTCTGTTCTCTTATCCTATCTCAGACCTAATGTCTAAGATAGTTTTTGGCTTCTAGTTTTGGGTATCTCGTGGGTAGAAAAAGATCTGCGTATATGTATAGACTGCTCGTGTCTTGCGAATGGGAGTAAACGCAGGCGAAGGACGTTATTTATAGGTGTAGGTCGAAGGTTATAGCATTACTGTTACAAATCTTTGACATTGAATTCAGTTTAATACCTTTCCTTTGTTAAAGATTTTCACGCCATGCGTGAATATATGGTATGCGCAGAACTGCAGGCTAACTCCTCGTATACGTATAAGCTGCTATGAATATTCTGTATCGGCCGATATTCCCTATTTATGCCTTTCCTTGTTTATTAGGTGTGTATATAAGTTACACGCAGGTCATATATATAGAGGTGTATATTTATGGACTATGAATTAATATATGTTTGACAAGGATCCCATATACGTACATGTAGACATTAAGTTTGAAAAGTCAAATTTGCTAAAATGTTACGTACCGGAGTATTACTTTTGTAACAATAAAATGGTGCTCATGATAAAATAACTCAAAAACGTATTACCAACACCTATGAATTAGAATTTGCTAAAACGTTGCTACTATTGATTAATTAAGTAAAAAATTCCATATTACTCACGTAAGTTTTAAAAAAGTTAACCTCACAATTATTATGGGGTGTCACATCTTACCCTCCTTAAAAGATGCTTCGTCCCGAAGCATAAGCTCTAATATAATTTTAATGATATAAAATTATGAAGTGTTACATTCTACCCCACTTAAAGAAAAGTTACGTCCTCGTAACTAAAACACTACCTAAGTCAAATAGCTTTGGATAACATTTGCGCATATCGTCTCGGGCTCCCAAGTGGCATTTTCGGTCAACAATTTCACCATAAGACTTTCACCATTTTGACCACTTAGCTTCTAGTTTCATGAGTTTCTCGGTACTAAGGCATTCTTAATTAAGGTCTCTACACTATGTTAAGCATATAAATCCTTCACCGAGTCCATATCCAAATTCTTACACACAGACATTTCAAAAACGCTATCAACATTCATATATTTCACATAAGCTAGTAACTCCATCAATTTCACAACTCAATCATATATATCAGTAACTTAAAGGTCTCACAATCCTCACCACGTTACCTAAGAGCACTTTTCCTAGTCATTTTCTTTTTCCTAGTTTTTACTTAAAGAACATTCAGGAAACTATAGAAAAGTTTCGAAAAGCTGTTTAGAAATCTTTTGCAAAAACATTTTGAAAAATCCCAAAAAAACACCCTAGGCTCTGATACCAATTTGTAACACCCCGGCCCCACCGGACCCGAGGTAGTTACTTCGGACCAATAGTACTGTCCCCACAAACCACCACAAGCCTTTACCGCGCACTTTGTCCTCACTCATGCGCGCCCTGAGAAACTTCCCAGGGGGTCACCCATCCCAAGACTACTCCCGAGCAAGCACGCTTAACTTTGGAGTTCTTGGGGGATGAGCTCCCGTAAAAGGAGATGCACCTCTGTTGGTATGAGTAGTACTATTAATCCTCTTATATTAATCTCGGGTATTACACTGGGGGAGCCAGGAGTAATCTAGGTTGAAACTCACTCCATTGAGTTTCGAACCCGAGACCTCCCGTAAGGGAGTGTGAGTCGGCGACCAGCTGGCCTGGACCGCTTCATGGTGTGTTGTTGTGATAATTTCACATTTACATTGCAATCATTTTATTTTTCTAGTTTGTTGTAATTTAGTAACTTTACAATGATCTTGAGCAAGAATCAATCAAAGACCAACAAAGAATCATGAAAGGGATCTTATAAGATCAAAGGAAGTAACAAGGAAGCAAGAAATCATGCATGAAATGTAATTTGGTGTCACACCCGATCCGGTTTAATGAACACCCTGTCGAGTATGATTTGATCCGAAGATATACAAGATCAAATAAAGCAAGAGAATGGAGTTTTTTTCCTAAATAATGTTGAATAAAAAGTTATTTACAAATTTAGAGTTGAGTTAAAAATATATACCAAAGTACCGTTGAGCTTAAGTGTAGTAAACAAGAATGGAGAATAGCGGAAGCAACCCAGGAAGTGAGGCACCCTAGGATATACTTCGTAGGTCCGAACGTTCGGATGCAATTGTTGTCTGGACATTTAAAGAACATAAGAATCCCCCATCCAAGTTTAATGTAAACGGCACCGATTAAAACCCAAGCGTACGGCCTGGATTAAAAAATTGAGCGCGCTATTTTGCCTTCCGAAACCCACATTTACGCAGAGCGTCAAAATCCAGGCCACGTCTGAAGCAGAGTGCGGCTTTCTTTTACAAAGCTCTACTTCTCAGTTCTCACCATTGGAAAGCGTGGTTCAGCCGTTCAGGTTCAATCCTTCGTATACTTCAGGTAATTGCTTTATTTTACAACGTATTTTATAATGATTTGGGCTCTGAAAGGGTTGTCTATTTCAAAGTTTTGATTGAGAATACAAACAAAATCTGGTTTTATTGATAACCGTAATCTGATGCTCAATTTCGTGTGATTTAAAAACACTCCCGTATGTTGCTATCATTTCAGCTCCCTGCAGCTGTTGTGATTTAATTAATTCATCATTCATTATTAAAAAAGTTTTAGTTCAATTTATGCATTAAGATATTAACTACGGAGTATTTTACATCCCAGTTTGAAAAATATTATTTTTGTTTCTTAACTATTTACCTAGGCTTTATCATTTAAATAAGGTCTTGGTTAATAAACTTAATCATAAATTACTCATTTATGAAAAATAGATTGATGGAAACTTCCATGCTTACAACGGGTTGTAGTACGTGAAGAAGTTTTAGCAATTACTCCAGCTGTATCAATAGACAAGAAACCATTTGTTGGAATGAAATTTGATGATCTGGAGGCTGCTTTTTTGTTTTACAATAGTTATGCTAAATTGGCAGGATTTAGTGTGCGAAAGGAATCAATTAGAAAAGGCAGTGATGGTACTGAAAAATCAAGAATATATACGTGCAACAAAGAAGGATTGACAAAAAATCACTACATACCGAGCTTAAAAAATCCAGAAATATTTCTTTTAATAATGAAACAAAAGTTGCGTTGTGCTCCTGTAGTAAGTTTGAGTTTGAAGGGATCCCATGTGCTCACATACTACAGGTCTTTGACACTTTGAACATAAATGAACTGCCGGATTACTACATTTTATATAGATGGAATAAAGGCTCGTGTAGGGGGGTTGTGAAAGATGCAAATGGCTTTGAGATTTGTGAAGATCGTAGGAGGGCTTTGTCTGGAGGGAATGGAAAAGCACTTGATGCTTTTCTTAGCGGTTATTATGAGTTGTCTACGGAGTCTATAGAAGACCAAGAAGTTGGCCTCCACCTTCTTGAAGAGTGGCGATAAAAATTTAAAGAGCACCTTTCGAAAAATGCATCCCAAGAAAATGCTAAAAAGCATGAACACGAGCCCTCTGCATCGTTAGAATTTGTTGAACCTGATCATGCAAGACATAAAGGTTGCGGTAAACGACTCAAATCGTCAATGGAAAAGACAACATCACTCAATCGTCAATGTAGTAATTGTAAAGGACATGGTCATGATAAACGCAATTGTCCGAAGTTGGGGACTGGGTATGTGCTGTCAATCATTTTCCTTATATCTCTAATTTGATGTGTTTTAAATGAAATAATAAAATGTTTGTATTTACAGGAAGTGTAAAGCTGCAGAAGGTCTTACAAAAGTTCAAAGTTCTTGAGGAAAATCTCCCAAGATGGACGCTTTTCACCAAATTGTTTTTCCTCTATTTTGTTAATATTTATGTTTTGTGTGGGACATATCCATGTAATTATAAATCTTTTTATGTAATTCTTTATTTTGTTTTTGTTTACTATTGCTTATTGATTGAGTTCTGAAGCAATGTACTGTCTCTTTTTGAAGATGTATAACTACCTTATGTGAGTCTGTCATGATGAAATTATGGTTCACATGTTTGTTGTGATTGAGGGGCTCATAAATTATAAACATCATCATCATCATTATTAAAATTGTTTGCTCTGTTTTAATTTATGCCTCATCATCATCATAAGTGCCGTTGCCCATTCTGTGCCACAAACAATGTTCATAAGCAATGTTTCTTCTATTGCTTTATTCTGCATTTCCTTCCAAATTTGAAATTGGAGTCCAAAGAAGGAACATGGAGACAAAGACCAAATACAAACCAGTAAGAGCTAAAACTTGTGCAAGACATCAACATAAATGACATTGATATACAAATATAGTCCAGTTCTTGTAATAGTAATTAATCAAATGGAGATGAGAATTCATCTTCTTTGTTGATATTGATAGATCAAAGAGTAGCATATGTAGAGAATCATAAAATACACAAATGAAAAGAACAAAGAAAGCTAAAATTGGATGAGCATCTTCCAACTTGAAACAATTGGATTTGAGCTTCTTTCCACTTCCTGCAAAGGCCAACTTTTTTAGAGTCAAAAGCCAATATATGATCTTGGTTGGGCTAGTTGTTAAGAACTAAAAACTTGGGAAAATGAGTTGGTCCAGTGGTGTTGAGCATATGTTGACTATGTCAAATTTAAATATAATTAACTATAAATATGTATAAAGATAAATTAATAAATATAAATATACATGCGTACATGTAAATAAATAAATAAATTAGTATATATATTTAAAAAATGTATATATACTAAATGTAGCGGGCCGGGCTTATCGGCCCGAACGGGCCTACACCCTAACCCAAGCCCGCCCATATGTTATTGCGGGCCGGGCCCGGGCCGGGCCGGTGGGTACATATATGCCCAAGCCCGCCTATTTGTGGGGGCGGGCTGGGCGGGCCGGCCCGGTTTTGTACAGGTCTATAAAAAAACACCTTTTTTCTTCAAAGTTCTATAACATTTTTATTTTTGCCCCATTTTTTATAAAACATATACCAAAATTCATAATTTTTTATGATCTTTCATTTGATATCAATATTTTATATGCAAAATTTAAAAAAAAAAGTTTTTTAAACAACATTCTCATTCGCTAAAAAACTTTCACATTTTTCAATCTTCATACGGGTTATTTAATACTCCTTCCGTTCTCTTTATATTGTTCCATTTTATATTTTCGAAAAATCGAACTAAAATCGTCTCATATCATACTTTCTCCGTCCCGCAATTAAGTTCTGTGTTTGACTTGACATATATTAAGAAAATAAATTTGACTTTACTGTGGAGTACACTGTTTTGCACTGTTTGGACACTGTTTAACACTGTTTTGGTGTAGATTTATTTGCCAAATAAAGAAGTAGAAACTTGTTTGGGACATCCGAAAAAGGAAAGTGGAAACTTAATTACGGGACGAAGAGAGTATTTGGTAAAGTTTGGGTGGCCCTAAATAATTCTCACTTTATTCTTACTTTATCAATTAATATCAACAACACAAATCCACTTTTCTTAATAATCGTGTCACCATCTTCCGTCCCAAAATAAAAGGATGGATGTAGTATTAAATAAAGAATCAGCTCTCAATGTATTACGAAAAAAGGATATTGGATGAAAATGTCACTTATTAAAATTTAGATTAAAGTTGCTATAAAAGTGTACTCCTATTCAATTAGTCACATTTTTGTTCATAATATTTATTTTAGTAATATTTTTTTGAGAGAAAATCTATTTTTTTATCGTCAAAGTGGCTTTAAATTAATAAAATAACATTCAGCAGGGGTACAGGATAGCAAAAGGACCACATGTAACCATCCGCCCTTGGCCGAGACTCTGAGTTAATCACCTTTGACAAAGCAATATAACTCGCTAGACCTAAATTGGGCAACATACAGCCAATGACGATTACCGTAGACCGACCTCTCATCCCCCAAACCTAATGTGAGAGTCTTACAGCATAAAATAAAATAACAACAAAACATAAACATCTTAAACCGGAAATTAAAATGCATAAAAGGTAAATAAACAAACTCCAAACAGGTAATTTTCTCGATTACTTAGAGCCCGTTTGGTAGCACAAAAATCGGCTGATTTGGTTTACTCTGCTGGAATTTATTAAGTTATGGCTGAAGTGGCTGCATTGACTAATTCTACTAATTTAAGAAAAAATTATTTTTAAAATATATGTTATTAATAAAATAAAGAAAAAATTATATTTAAAAATAGGTAAAATGATCATCTACAGTAACTTCAGCCAATACAGCCAGAAAAGTAACTTCAACCTTACTTTTTCTTCTTATTCCCTTGTTCAGCGCGCGAAAGTAAAAATTATGTATTTGGTGAAAAGTTGGCCGATAAGCCCGATAAGTCAAAAAACAGCGCTGCCAAACGGCATCTTAATGTTTTTGTTTTGTTTAAGTGTTTTTCCTAAAACATAAGGTTGTTAAATAAGCTTAATTTTTTTAAAGTTTTACATATGCAATATTGGTGTCATATGAAAGATAATTAAAAATTATGAATTTTGATATATTTTGTATAAAAATTGGAGAAAAAATGAAAAAGTTATATCATTTTAAGAAAAAAGATTTTTTTTTTATTTTGGGCCCCACCTATGACTTCAATTTCCTACGTGCAGTTCGGTTGCCTATGCGTATTCGTGACATGTAAGTTGCCAGGTGCCGGTTGTCGTTAACTATGGTTTGTTGAAGCAGTATGTTCGTAAATACTATCCTCCGTCTCTTTTTAATCGTAACATGTTGAATTTTATACTATTCACATGTTTTACTTTGACTACATTTTATATTATTATTTTATGAAAATTATTTTTTTAAAATTATATTGTTCAATTCATCTCATTACAAATTTTCAAAATCTAATTTTTAAATATTTTTTACTAATGAGGATTAAGATATAATTACGGTCAAAGATGTGCGTTGACAAGTGTGAAATGTTGACCGTTGCAACTAAAAAAGAACGGAGGAAGTATTATTAACTCAACCTCAATAATGTAAATACTTTTTTATATTACATTACTTTCGAAAAAAACTCAAGAGAATGTGGGAAAATCAAATTTGGTCATATACTCGATCAGGTATATTGACATACCCGGTCGGGTATGACTAGATTTCAGAACTTTTGTAGCCACTGTCAGGGTATTCTCACCAAAACACTTATAAATACACATTCTTTCCTTCCCATTTTGATATCTCATCTTCCATATACTTGATCTCCATTTAGAATAGTTATTTTCCTTTATTTTCTAGCATGTTTAGTCTTCAAATGAGGAGCTAAACTCCTATCTCTTGGTTTTGCTCTTGAAGATTGTTGATTGTTAAAGTTGCGAGCTAAACTTCTTTATTTTCTAGCATGTTTCTTTCCTTGAATATTAATTCTTCCATTATTTAATCTCTATATTAATGTTGGGGAGTGTTGCTAAGTAATGATTAATTAAGATTTCAACATTTAATACTACTAGAAACGATCAATGAACCGATGGTTAATCATTGATGATTTCACAAGTAATTTTGGATTATTAATGCATGGTGTCATAGGTAATAATCTTAAGAGTGATTAATTATGTTGGTTAATTAAGACAAAATCGTTGTGTTGATGTTATTAATCTCAATGAACTCATATACCATGGGATCATCTCACGATGAGCACCATGCTCCTGCATTCAAAACGACGCAGTTTTACATAATTTTTAATTAAAAAATTCCTCGCGTGTACAGTAACTATTTTTGTTTTTTCTTGTCCCAATTGCATAATGATGTAACTTGCATGTAAATAAATGTAATTTACATTAATAAAAAATGTTACTACAGACAAGCCGAAATATAACTTGTCTAAAACATTGATCTCAATGCAAAAAATAAAAAAGGAGTCTAATTGCTTAATAACTTTACCTAAATAGAGAATATGTTCTGTTTTTAATATTAAGACCATAAAATGTTTTAAAGAAATCATTTTTTTTCACAATTTTTTTTGCAAAAAAAAAACTATTTAAAAAAAAGTTTTTGTTTGAATAAAAGAAGTTTTTTTTATGTAACTCATGCAATGACAAATATAACTTGTGTTAATGGAAAACGTAACTCAGACGGATGCAAAATGTATCTTGTTGAGACAAGTCCAAATGTAATTGGCTCATAAGATGATGTAACTCGACGTGAAGATGTAAATATACTATAAAAAGATGTCACTCAATTTATTAAACACATATACCAATTAATTTCATCGATCAACATCAGGAGAATGGAGAAATTTATATTAATTGAATTTGATTAATGTGTAACTTAGATGTTAAATCAAAGCAAAAAAACTTGATTTCAATTTTAAAAGGTTTATGTGTAAATCTTCCTCATACAACATATTAAAAGGGTTATGCGGTAGTTTTAAATTTAGGAAAAGTTGATAAGAATAATCTCACATTTCACTGGTATTCTCATAATAATCCCACCTTTACGTAATTCAAGAATAATCTCACATTTGCACCCTATCTTCTTTCATTGGACCCTGACCTATTGATGACCTACAAAGGTGAGATTATTTATATAAGATTTTCAAAGAAAGAGTTCAATGAAAGAAGATGAGGTGCAAAGGTAGGATTATTATGGGATTACGTAAAGGTGGGATTATTATGATAACACCAGTGAAAGGTGAGATTATTCTTATCAATTTTTACTTAAATTTATTTAGTTAGTTTGATAAGTCGGAAAAAAAATTGAAAACTGTTTGAAGATTGGCGACGTCGACTAGAAAGATAGAGGAATTTGGAGCGGGTAGAGAGGTTATATTATGCGTTAGTTTTAAAGGGGTTAGCAGTCAATGCTCAGCAGAGATCGAAGAACTTCTGTAAAAAAGATGAAGTGACTCCGGTCGGTGCTCCTTACGGCTTTGGTGGAAGATTGATCTTTTTTTTTCTTTTTTTATGAAAAGTTGTTCTTGTGTTTAATTGCTAAAGTTATGCCGTTTTGGGATAGACACACCTTGATCACGGTAGGCCGATCCCACGGTATAATTTGTCAATCTAAATTGATTTCATTAAGGAGTTAGGAGATTAAATGCACCTACC